ATTTTTAATTTATTTATTATTGTTATACTTTAAGTTGTAGGGTACATGTGCATAACGTGCAGGTTTGTTACATATCGTATACTTGTGCCATGTTGTGTGTGCTGCACCCATCAACTCGTCATTTACATCAGGTATAACTCAATGCAATCCCTCCCCCCTTCCCCTCCCCATGATAGGCCCCGGTGTGTGATGTTCCCTTCCCTGGGTCCAAGTGATCTCATTGTTCAGTTCCCACCTATGAGTGAGAACATGCGGTGTTTGGTTTTCTGTTCTTGTCGATAGTTTGCTAAGAATGATGGTTCCCAGCTGCACTCCATTGTCCCTACAAGGACACAAACTCATCTTTTTTATGGCTGCATAGTATTCCGTGGTGTATATGTGTGCCACATTTTCTTAATCCAATCTATCACTGATGGACATTTGGTTGATTCCAAGTCTTTGCTATTGTGAATAGTGCTGCAATAAACATACGTGTGGATGTTGTCTTTATAGCAGCATAATTTATAATCCTTTGGGTATATACCCAGTAATGGGATGGCTGGGTCATATGGTTACTCTAGTTCTAGATCCTTGAAGGAATCACCATACTGTTTTCCATAATGGGTTGAAACTAGTTTACAATCCCCACCAACAGTTAAGAAGTTAACGTGGCATCTCTGGGAATCAGACTCTTAACTAAAACTTTTCTCTGAGGGAAACAAAGCCTGAAAAGGGGAGATTGAATATTACATGGCTTAAGAGAGTATTTAGACATATCTACTTCCATTGGTGCTAAAATATATCTGGAAGTGGAATGGAATTCAGAACTCCATGAAAGAGAGCTGGTGTCCAGAGTGTTGATGTCACACAGCCTGTGTCCTGATTGGCACAGAAGTTGGAACTAGATTGTGGATATCCATTCTGCTAGCTCTACTGGAAGACTGCTTCTGAAAGCAAGGTCTTCAACTTTGGATGTTAATCATTAGAATTTTCTTTCTCAAATTAAAAGTTTGAGAAATTCCTGATAAGATGTCCCGTTCCCTAAAGTTTACTTTGATTGTAATTTTTTTTTACTATTGGCTTTCACCCAGCCATGAAGAGTTAAAAGGTGGTAAGTATGCTTTGGCAGTCAGATTGTTTATTCTTCTCCTCTGGCTCACTTTTTCCCAGTTTCAGAAAGTTAAACTAATTTTTTATCTCAAATTGGATTTCTTGGGAGAATTTAAGATTTAGGCGGAAAAATGTCAGTTGTCAGAGGAAGAATTGTAAAGTTCTTTTCCGAAAACATGCATCATTTACAAAATGGATTTGCATATTCGCAGTATTATTGGGGCAGTAACATTTGGACACAGTCTTTTCCACAGAAGAGCTTTGAGCCTGACATCCAGCGAGGGGTCATTTCTGACTCTGAAAATGAGTATAGCTCAGGAGGCCCAGGCGCTGGGGAGTGATGCCATCAGCTCCACTGCAGGCCTGCTTGTTGTTTCCAGCTGCACATCACACCTGTGAAAGGGAACGATTCTTCCCACTGTTTGTCCTTCTGATAGCCTTCTCTCTGGACTTTGCAGTTCCATTCCTTTTCATTGACAAATGGACTTTTTTTTTCTTTTTTTCCATCTCTGGGCCAGCTTGGGATCCTACACTGCCCTGGGAAGACATTTGTGTTTTACACACATAAAGATCTGTGTTTGGGGTTTCTTCCTCCTCCCCTGACATTGACATTGCTTGGTGGTTGTGTGGGGAGGGAGGCCACGTGGGCTCAGTGCTTGCTTGTACTTCTCTGCCTAGGTACATCGAAGTCTTTTGACCTCCGTACAGTGATTATGCTTGTCATTGCTGGTGGTATCCTGGCAGCCTTGCTCCTGCTGATAGTTGTCGTGCTCTGTCTTTACTTCAAAATATACAACGCACTAAAGTGAGTCACATGTTCAAAATAAACAATGCACTAAAGTGAGTCACATGGAGAAAAGGGGATAGATAACACTCCATCAATGGGATACCTGGGCTCCCTGTTGGAGCAAGGTCATTCCTTGCTGCTGTGGCCATACTCCTGGGTGAGGTCAAGAAGAACAGGCAGCTTTGTAAAGGCAAAAAGACAGCTGTGTCTAGTTATGTTTTTTCTTTCTGGCTGGGGTGGTTAGAATGTTCTCAGCTTGGGCCTGTGAGTGTCAGCACTGCTTGGCTGTCACTGGATCTCACTAAGTTTACCATCAGGTGTTTAATTCAGCACCTTGGCCAAGCCTTCCTCTGTCCTGGGCACTGCAGACTGCAGATTCTGTGGGGGAGACTGCGTGAATGAGCTCTGCCTTGTACTCATGTGGAGGACGGGCTGGATTTATCTCTTCTTGCCTGAGTTGGGAGCTCTCAGGGTATTCCTCCATTTGTTTCTGGTGACCTTGGGGAAAATGACTGGGGCTCTAGATCTCAGGGGCAGCTGACCTGTGTGAAAACCTGGGGGACAGTGGACAAGGGAGGGTAGATCAGAGAAGATTGCATTTTTGGGGAGAAGACCCTTTAAGTACCAGAAAGATTGGTTGTCAGATGCAGTTGTGTCCCCATTCTAAGGAGTTCACAATGGCACATCCCGGAGCCCAGGACACAGCTGAATGCAGCACCTTCCCATCATTCCTGCATCTTGGGGGCCTGCAGTGACCAGCTGGGTGACCTTGCTTGCGAATTCACTCACCCTTACTTTTGTAACCTCAGTTTACGTTTATAGCAATCATAGGAGAGGAAAGGATTGGAGAGGAACTTGGGACAGGGGAGAGAGCCTTAATGTAGGACTGGTGTTAATGTCTGACTGGCTTCAGCACTAAACTTCCAATACCCCCAACAGTTCTAACAAAAGGACTGAGAAGAAAAATTCTAAGCCTGTGCTTTGTGTGTGTCTTTTCTCAAGAGCTGCAAAGGACCCTGAGGCTGTGGCTGTAAAAAATCACAACCCAGACAAGGTGTGGTGGGCCAAGAACAGCCAGGCCAAAACCATTGCCATGGAGTCTTGTCCTGCCCTGCAGTGCTGTGAAGGATGTAGAATGTATGCCAGTTTTGATGCCCTGCCACCTTGCTGTTGTGACATAAATGAGGGCCTCTGACTTGGGAAAGGCGGGCACAAAAATCTTCATGAGCAATATTTCTTTCTTAGTAGATTGTTTTGTTATTCAAATCAAGTTCTAGAGTTTTTATGTGAGATTATATAATTTACAGTGTTATTTTATATACTTTTGAATAAATGTACACTATTAAAAATAATCCTCTTTGCCGCCAATATTTTTTGATTATTAATTATAAACATTCTTTGTTTAAATATATTTATTACTCACTTTGGAATGTGGGGGAAATTAGCTTGTAGCATTGCAATAGAAGAAAGAGAATTGGAATAAAAGTGTCCAGCACATCTCCCACCCGAGAAGGAAAATGCACACTGTTCTTACGACGTTTCCAATTTCCGCCCAGCTGATCTTGTCCAGCTGGAGTCACTCATTTAGCTCTCGTGAGGGCTTGGATGGTTGACATCCACCGCAGAAAATGGTGTCATGTCCTGACACCTGTCCTGTTGTCCTGTCCATTTATCCAAGACAGTGAGAGGAGCCAGGCAGGATCTCCCTGTGTTAAAGTTGTCTGACCTGTGTAAGATAGGCCTGAGCTCAGTGACCTCAAAAGGACCTTTTGAAAACCAGTTTCTTCCTACTGCAATCCCCAAATCTCCAGAGCATGTGACTCCTTCGTGGATCACGGTAACAGTGATGTGTGTTGATCCAGCCATCAACATCTTCAACTGTAACACCAACCACCAGCCAAAGGCCAAAGCCCAGACTCCCTGACCACAACAGGTGACAGGAAGCACCACTCCCCACTTCTACTCCCAGCTGCCTTCTGTTCCAGCTCCTGCGCTTGAGCCTCCTGGAACCCCTTTCTAAGCATGATTCCCCATCTGTAACCGCATGTCCACTCCTCTCATGAACTAAACCCTTGCTTGTGACCTTCACATGTATACTGAATGTGAAGAATTATTAGCTAGTAACAGATGGTAATCTACTAAAAGAGGGTGAAAAGGAAAACAGAAGTCGCAAATGAAGGAAACAGCTGTGACATCTAGGCACAGAAATGGGCCAGATGTGGGTGGAAGAGCTGTCTGTAGAGGCCGAGCACTTCCTGGAGGCTGAGCCTCCAGCCCCAGCATGCTCGGGAAGAGGCCAAGTCAGGGCAGCCTCCAGCCGGAGGTCACCTGTCCCCCTTAAGTTTCTGGGCACTGTCTCTGTCCCCTGCCTTTGATTTTCTCTTGTCACCAGCAAGCTCTGACAGATGGAGCACATACAAATCCCCTGTTACCCCACACAGTGAGTGGCCCAGTGCCTGGACCCAGGACGCCTGTGCCAGGGCCTCCGCATGTGGGTGATTACTCCTGGTGCAGGTATTGCAGGGGCTGTGAGGGAGGCAGGTGGGACAAAGGTCTTCAGGATACCCCCATTAGCAGGAGGACAGAGCACCACACATGGGTTTTAGAGCCCTATGGACCCAGTTCCCATCCCAATTTGGCCTTCACCAGGAGAAGTCCCTTTACTCATCTGAGCCGCTGTGTCCTTGATGTGAAGTGGGGACTTGCACAGGTGACAGGGAAAAAGCAGTGAGATGATGCAGGGTGACCCCACAGCACCCCATGGTCCCCAGAAAATTGCCAGAGGCCTCAAGGTGGCTTCTCTCCTGACTGGACCTGGAAGCCTGGGTCCTTTACCAGGGCCACCTGACAGAGTGTGGCCACGAAACTCTCACACTCAGTGGAGATGGATTAGGGATTTTGGAGATCCCAGCCATGGGTGACAAAGAGGGGTTCAGAGGGAAAGCCCAGGGTAGGGGTGGGTATTCGTGGACACAGCTGCAAGCGATTAGTAACCAGAAGGGTCCCCAGTCTCAAACACCTGTGCCCTGCTAACTCACCCCAGGACACCCAGTCCTGCGTCATCCACAACCCGCCTGGGCAGACAGGAGTGGAGCAGAGCCAGGCAGGGGCTTTGGGGAATGTCCAAGCTCCTCCTGAGCATCCCAGATGCTGCCTTTCCCCTACAAGCGCCCAACAAGGAATGGATCCCCTGGGTCACGGCGCAGGACTGTGCTCTCCCTAGGGAGGTGTCCTGGGCTTCAGCACCGTCAGAACAACACAGAGGGGCTGACAGTAGCCAGAGGGTTTCATCCTAGGAGACTCAGCCTACACGGGTGTCAGACCTCCCCAGAGCTGCACGAAGGTTCTTCAGAAAGTAGCCAGTCCTGACATTGTCCACTCAATATGTTCCACCTGAACTTAGAGTGAAACCCAGACTCATTTGCCCTATGGGTCCTTCCCCATCTGACCTTCACCTGCTCCTCTCCATCCTCCCCTCCCAGCTCATTCCTCCCACTCATGTCCAGCCAGGCTGTTCTTTCTTCCGTGCTGTTATAGGTGTGCCCACCTGGTCCCTGCCTCAGGGCCTGTGCACTTGCCCTCTCTTTTGCCTAAGATGCAACCCCCAAGCTCAGATCACCCATGAATGCCTCCCTCTTATCTTTCTGCCTTTGTTCCGATTTCATCTCTCAAGATGCCCTCCTTCTCACTGTCAGGTTTCCTCCCCACCCCAAGGCAACCACCATCTATGCAGTCAGCCTGTTTATTGTATCCATAGCTCCTCTCACCATTTGAATTCTTCATTTATTTTTGTTGTCTAACTCTCCACTTAGAATACAAGTTTCATGAGGGCAGGACTGCGACTCTCACATTCAATTCTATATTGCTTAGGCCCTAGATCAATAAGTAATATTTACTGATTGAATGAAAAGAGGGCAGCCCCCACCCACCACCACTTGCTCCTCCCAGTCTCACTGTGGACACTAGGATTTCTTTCTCTCGGCTGCAAAACACCATGCCTGAGAGACTAATTCACCTGCTTCAGCCTCTCCAGACATAACTGGTTAGAAATCCCCGTAGGGGAATCTGGATCTGTCCTCTCTTTCTCTTCATCCCTACCCTCTTCCCCTCCCCCACAGGGTTAGCCAACTGGCAGGGCATCTGAATGTCCCAGCTGGACCCAGATTTTGCCCAGGTGCTGCACCACCTGCCTTGCCCCACTGGCCTTCGTTCTGCTACAGGCTCTCTTCTCAAAGCAGAGCCCTGAAGACTTCAATGATGTCAACGAGGCCACCTGTTTGTGATGTGCAGGCACAGAAGAAAGGCACAGCTCCCCATCAGTTTCATGGAGAATAACTCAGTGGCTGCTGGGAACCAGCTGCTGGAGATCCCCACAAAGAGCTTCCACTGGGTGTCAACCCTTCCGGGAAGGATTTGAGGAGAGGGAACCCTCACTGTGAGGACTGCTGATAAGAAACCAGTCACACAGCTGCTCTATTCTCACACAAATCTACCCCATTGCATGGCTGGAACTGACGTTTCCCTGGAGGTGTCCAGAAAGCTGATGTAACACAGAGGCTATAAAAGCTGCCAGTCTTTAAGGCTGCTCAGCCCCTTGCCAAAATGGAGCTTGTAAAAAGGCTCATGCCACTGACCCTCTTAATTCTTTCCTGTTTGGCGGAGTTGACAATGGCAGAGGCTGAAGGTAAGAAAATTGAACCAGATTTATTCACCAAAACAGAGAAATTCTTCTCTTAAGAGGCTTCTTTCAAAATTTTTCGAAGTGGCCCCAGTTCAGAGAAAAATGTACTCTAATGCTCCTGGGGGGGATTTTAAATTAGTTCGAATTTTATTTGGCTCATCTGACAATGTCCATAAACATATCAAAAGCGTATAGAATTTTACTGGGTAATTTTACTGCTAAGAGTTTATGTTTTGGAAATAAGCATAAAAGTGTCCAAAGATATCTGTATAAATATGTGCACTTAGATAATTGTAAACTACAACACGAATTTTCATTATCTGTTATGGTAAATCCATACAATGGAACACTGGTTTTTGCAACTTAAAAAAAAATGATGGCTGGGGGTGGTGGCTCACGCCTGTAATCCCAGCACTTTGGGAGGCTGAGGAGGGTGGATCACGAGGTCAGGAGTTCGAGACCAGCCTGGCCAAAACCCCTGTCTCTACTAAATTACAAAATTAACCAGGTGTGGTGGTGCACACCTGTAGTCCCAGCTACTCGGGAGGCTGAAGGCAGGAAGATCGCTTGAACCCGGGAGATGGAGGTTGCAGTGAGCTGCGATCATGCTACTGCACTCCAGCCTGGTGACAGAGCAAGACTCTGTCTCAAAAAAAAAAAAAAAAAAAGACTCTGATCTATAATATGTCCATAGATCACATTAAGAGAAAAAGAAAGATCTGAAGTTTGTATCATATGATGGTTCTTATGTTTGAAATATATACATTCAAGCGTTTTACACATCTAGAAATAGAAGAGGAAAGGAAAAGGTGTGGAAGAATTTACACCAAGGTTTTAGTGATGATTGTTTCTGGGTGGATGGGGTTATGAGAGTATATGGGAGAATAAATAAAAATAAACCTTTGTTCCTATGTAGGTGGGGTTTTTGACCATTAGTCAAAATCTTGGTGGGATTTTGAATTAGTAATAATTTTATGTGTGCCTATCTGACAATGTACATAAAAATATAAGAATTTACCAAATAATTTTTTAAAGTTTTATAGAAAAGAATTTTCACTATGTTGCACAGGCTGGTCTTGAACTCCTGAGCTCAAGCGATCTACCCGCTTTGGCCTCCCAAAGTGCTGGGATTACAGGTGTGAGCCACCACGCCCAGCCCCTTACTGGATAATTTCACTGCTAACAGTTTATCTTTAGGATCCAGTTATTTTTCCTCTTCTCGTTTTCTCTTTCTTCTCTTCTTTCTCCTTTTCAATAACAGCTTTATTAAGATATGATTCACATACCATAAAATCCACCATTTTAAAGTATACAATTTAGTGTTTTTTAGTATATACACAGAATTGTGCAACAATCACCACTATCTAATTCCAGAACATATTCTTCACCCCCAAAAGAAACGGTCTCAGGCTCAGCACGATGGCTCAAATCTACAATCCCAGCACTTTGGGGGGCTGACATGGGAGCATTGCTTGACGCTGAGAGTTTGAGACCACCCTGAACAACGTAGTGAGACCTCGACTCTACAAAATTAAAAAAAAAATTTTAGCCGGGCATGGTGGTACATGACTGTAGTCCCAGCTACTCTGGCGGCTGCGGTGGGAGGATCACTTGAGCCCGGTAGTTTGAGTCTGCAGTGAGCTATGATTGTGCCATCGCAATCCAGTATAGGTAACGGAGTAAGACTCTCTGTCTGTCTGTCTGTCTCTCTCTCTCTCTCTATATATAGTGTCTCTATATATAGTCTATAGTCTCTCTATATATAGTCTATATATATAGTCTCTATATATAGACCAATGTTTAATATATCTATAACTATATATTTTATATAGAGACTAATATATATAGACTAATGTTGCGATGAATAGTAGTGTACAAGTTTTTGTGTGGACATATATATATATATGTATGTATATATATGTATAAAGAAACTCTGTATTCACTACCAGTCACTCTCCATTTCTCCTGATGTCTCCAGCACAAGTAAACCACTACTCTACTTTCTGTCTCTATAAATTTACTTATTCTGGATATTTCACATAAATGAAATCATGTAATATATGGTCTTTCACTTAGCATAATATTTTCAAGGTTCATATATATTGTAGCGTGTATCAGTACAATCAGCCCTGAGTACCTGTGGGTTCAGCATTCATGGATTCAACCAACCATGAATTGAAAACATTTGAAAAAAAATAGTTGGTTAGGGAACACGTACAGACTTTTTTCCTTGTCGTTATTTCCTAAACAATATAGTATAACAACTATTTACACATCATTTACATTGTGTTATAAATAACCTAGAGATATTTTGAAGTGTACAGGATGTGTATAGGTCACATGCAAACACTAAGTCATTTTACATAAGGGACTCCAACATCCATGGATTTTGGTGTCCACAGGGGGTCCTGGAACCAATCATTCGTAGACACCAAGGGACAACTGTACCTCATTTCTTTTTATTGCTGAATAATATTCCAATGTATGGATAGACCACATTTTATTTATTTATTCATCAATTGATGAATATTTGACTTATCAGGACTAACGTTGCAATGAATATAGTATACAAGTTTTTGTGTGGACATTTGTTTTTATTTCTTTTGGGGATATGCCTAGTGGTAGAATTGCTGGGTTATGATAACTGTATGTTTAATCTTTTGAGGAACTAACTGCCAGACAGTTTTCCATAGCAGCTGTACCACTTTACAATCCCATGAGCAGTGTATAAGCATTCCAGTTTCTCCATGTCCTTGTCAATGCTTGCTGTTTTCTGTGTTTGACTCTAGCCATCCTAATGCATATGAAGTGATATCTCATGGTTTTGATTTGTATTTCCCTGATGACTAATGAGGCTGAGTATATCTTCATGTGCATATTGGCCATTTATAGATCTTCTTTGGAAAAATGTCTATTCTGGTTCTTTGTCCTTTTTAAATTGGATTATTTGCCTTTTAATTATTTAATTGTAAGAATTATTTATACATTCTAGCAATCAAGTGTCTTTTAAAAACCATCCTTTTTTTTTCCCCCAGGTTGATCTATGAATTCAGTGCAATTCCAATAAAGATCCCAGTAAGAATATTAAATAGATAAAGATATGCTGACTCTAAAATTTACATGAAAAAGCAAAGGAACTGGAATAGCCAAAACAATTTTGCAAAAGAACAGTAAAGTTGGAACATTCATGTTACCTAATTTTAAGACTTCTGATAAACTACAGTAATCGAGAAGGTGTGGTTTGCCAAAAGGATAGACACAGAAAATTGAAACAGAATAGAGAGTTCAGAAATAGATCCACACAAATATGGTCCATTGATTTTTGACAAAAGTGCAAAGGCAATTTAACGGAGAAAGGAGAGCCTTTTCGTCAAATGGTCTTGGTACAATTGGACACCCATATGCAAAAAATAAACTCAACCTAAGCCTCATTTCTTATCCATAAATTAGCTTAAAATGGATCATAGTTCTAAATGTAAAATGTAAAACTATATTATTTTTAAAAAGAAAACAGGAGAAATCTTTGTAACCTGGGGTTAAGCAAAGAGTTCTTAGACAAGACACCAAAAGCACAACCCATAAAAGAAACTATTACTAAATTGGACTTTATAAAAAATTTAAAACTTTTATTTTGGGAAAGACACTGTTAAGAGGATGAAAAGACAAGATACAGATTGGGAGAAAATATTTTCAAATTGCAGATGCAACAAAGGACTTGTATTCAGCATATATAAAAAACTCAAAACCCAATAATAAAAACAAAAAGCTAAGTTAGAAAAAGGGCAGAAGACTTAGAGATACTCACTAAAAAGGATATATAGAAGGAAAATAAGAACATGAAATGATGTTCAATGTCATTAGCCATTAGGGAAATGCAAGTTAAAAAACCACGATGGGATGCTGCTACATATCTGTTAGAATGGCTAAACAAAGCCATACAAAAACCTGACAGTAGTGTGTGTTGATTAGCATGTGGTGCAACTGGAACTCTCATACATCGTTGGTTGGATTATGAAACAGAACAGCCACTCTGGCAAATGGTTTGGCAGTTTCTTATGAAGTTAAATATACACTTAACATATGACCCAGTGATATCACTCCTAGGTATTTATGCTAGAGAAATAAAGACACATGTTCATATGGAAACCTATTAAAAATACAAACCATCCTTCTTCAGGTCCTAATATAGTCTCTTTTATGGACTATATGTAGAGAAGTTACAAATACTTCTCCTCAAACGGTTCAAGACGGAGAAATCAACTGCTTTTGACTTACTTTGGAGTAAGCTAAGTGCCATCCACAATTAGCTGTCTGCTTCTATGTATATTACATGTGAGAGGTAGATTCCTAATCTCTCAGAGAGGGGAAAGGGTCTGTTGTTGACTTTCCTCAGTGCCATCTGTGGTCTCTAACAGGCAATTCAAGCTGCAGTGTCACTCTAGGGGGTGCCAACATGGCAGAGACCCACAAAGCCATGATCCTGCAACTCAATCCCAGTGAGAACTGCACCTGGACAATAGAAAGACCAGAAAACAAAAGCATCAGAATTATCTTTTCCTATATCCAGTAAGTAGAAGCTTTAGTTTCCTAATAAGGGATATCAAACTCTGACCACATTGGGTTGGGTAGGGGTCTCTCTGTAGAAAGAATTCAGCTGCTGCTAGAGCTGGTAGTGACACTGACAACCATCATGATGATGATGGTGATGGGGATGATGGCTGGTAGTCACTGATAATGGCTGTGCCTGGCACTGGCTCACAGAGGTCCTTCAAGGTCAGCACTATAATAGTACTACGGACACAGCAAGGTTGAGAACTTGTCTGAGGTCACACAAATAGTGAATAGCATGACCACGGTTAGAACCTAGCTGGTCTAGTTCCAGTTTCTTGGCCTTAAAACACTAAACTTTGGTTCCAAATTTTGCTATGCATTTGAATATGTGGGGGAGCTTTCACACACCCGGACTCCCAGGCTGTACACTACATAATTAGATTATAATCTCTGGGGGTAGACTCCAGGCATCAATTTTTTTTTATTTTATAGTTTTTATTTTGAAATAAGTATACACTTATAAGTGCTTTTTATAAGTGCCCAGGTGACCCCAGTGTGAGGCCAAGCTAGGAACATGACTCTGCCCTGCAGAGACACTCAGTGTTTCCTGAGATCTGTCTGTAGTTAATCCTCTCAACAACCCTCTGGCCAGATGCAGTCTAATCCCCATTCTATAGATGAGAAAACCCAGAGAAGTCACTTACCAGGTCCAAGACTAAAAAATAATAAAAATGGGATAGAAACTGAATCCAAGCAGCCCGGCTCCAGAGCCCCCACTCTTATGCCTGTCCCAGTGGTTCTTATACTTGATCATACATCAGAAGCATGTGGAAGACTTGTTAAAACACAACTGCTGGGCCCCATAGCTGGAGTCTCTATTATCTTATTCAGCTGGAGTGTGTGGGACCTGAGAATCTGCATAGCTGACAAATGCTCAGGTGATGTTGATGCTGCAGGTCCAAGTACCACACTTTTGAGAACCATAGTAGCCCTGTACCACTGAAGCTGGAATTTAACTTATCCTTCAAAAAGCAAAAGAGTCCTCAAATTTACTGGAATGGTTGCTGAGAAACATATATGCTATTCTTGCTGTGTAAGGAGAGAGGGGAAGAGAAAGTGTGGGTAGAGCAAGGGAGGCGAGAAATTAACATTTAACATCTATTGCACACCTGTGTGCCAGGCCTGTGGCAGGTGCTTCATATTCAGAATATTATAAACCTCACACAATAATGAGAAGTAGGCTGTGATATCCCCATTTTACAGATGAGAAAACTGAAGCCAAGAAAGGTTAAATCACTGATTTAATTTTATACAGCAGGTAAGTGACTAAAGTGGAAAGAGAACCCAGATTTCTCTACCGTTGTATTACTTCCTGTAAGTTTGGACATATGTCCTCTGAGGATATTTGGGGAGACCCTGTCAGAATGGGCAGCAAACTAAAACCCTGGGCTGTCCTGTCCAATGCAGGGCATGGGACTGTCCTTCAGAATGAGGAAGTGGTGGTGATATAAGGGAAGGAAGGAGCAACTAGGGAGGTGCTAAGGTTTGGGAAAGGTGGCTGTGGAAGAAGAGTTGCTTCACCTTTCAATAGCCTTGGATATCAAGCGTCAATGGGAAACAATTCTAAACAAGAAGGTTCATCAAAGAGTTACATGGACATGGGGAATAGGAGAGATAGAAATAGGTAGAAGGAAAGGAATTCTGATTCCAGGCCCATCCTCATCATTTACTTGATACGAGACATAGGCAGAGCAGTTCACCTCCCTGCGCCCATTAAAATTGACAGTTTGTGATTTGATGTTGAGGATGGTGGGGTTGGTGATTGGTCTTGGAGACGTTTAAATGAAAACAGATGTGCCACCACTTTGTAAATTTACATGCCTAGGTGAGCAATTGACTCTGCTCTGCAAACCCCCTTTGCTTGTGACACTTCTCCAGCCACAGTTGTGTTTTGTCCCCAGGCTTGATCCAGATGGAAGCTGTGAAAGTGAAAACATTAAAGTCTTTGACGGAACCTCCAGCAATGGGCCTCTGCTAGGGCAAGTCTGCAGTAAAAACGACTATGTTCCTGTATTTGAATCATCAGCCAGTACATTGACGTTTCAAATAGTTACTGACTCGGCAAGAATTCAACGAACTGTCTTTGTCTTCTACTACTTCTTCTCTCCTAACACCTGTAAGTCATCATTTACACAACCTTCACTCACATCTCCTGCAAGCACAGGTTACACACTCTCCTGTCTGGGTTCTTATAATCTTCAGTCTGAGTATATTCTCTCAGAGTCTTTTCCATTTGAGAGAGCAGTAGTTCTCTAACTCATCTATGCATAAGAATCATTTGGAGAGCTTGTTAAATCGTAGATCCCAGCCCCATCACAGATATTGTGATTCATTGGTTCTGGGTGGAGCACATGATCTTGCCTTTCTAACCAGTTCCCAGATGAGGCAGAGACAAAGGGCTGATCAGATGGCTACATGTTGAGGGGTACTGTGTTAGAGCCCCAAAGCAGAGACTCCACATTCAGCCTGTTTAATAGTAACCCTAGTATCTTCTGCAATGCTTCTTCAGGGACCGCACCTCCCTATGCTCTGATTCCTTAGATCTTGGTTGGGGTTATTGAACCTTCGTGTTTAACAAGTCCCTCGGATGATTCTGACAATGAAGATTGGAGAGTGCATGCTGGAAATCTCTGGTCTCACCACTGAAATTTAAGACCGTCAGGTGGTTGGAGGCTACATTTACAGGGCTCTGCATTCACGGCACCTACATTCCACTGTGATCCAAAGCAGAATGCCAAGAACATCTGCAAGTGGGTTCATGAGGAGGACTCCACTGTGGATTTCGTTCCAAGGCCCAGAGCTGACCATGTCACTCGCCTCCTGAAACCACTGACTTCTTGGTACCATCCAATCTCCAGAGTGCAGCAGTCAAGGTTTTCCCAAGCTGGACCCAGGCCACCTTTTCAAGCCTTGCCTCTAGCTGCTGCCTGGCATGCACCCTATGCTTCAGCCAATCTAAACCATTTTCATCTCCAAAAAGAGCTCTCTGCATTGTTTCTCCCCATTTCATCTGTCCAGCTGCTTCCTTATGTACTTACTGGGGAAAGGAGAGACCAAGGGCTGCTTCATGAAGGCTGTTTCTGAGCTGAGCTTTGAACAATAGCATGGTGAGGTAGGTGGAGGGGGGAGTCAGGGAAGAGCACTCACCTCTACTGGAGCTGACAGCCAAGGAGTCATGGGAAGAAAGGGAGGATAGAGCAGAGGCTGATGAGACTAGAAAGCTGAGCTGGTGAGAGTGAGGAAGAGCCTTCAAGGGAGGGTGTGACTTTATTTTCTATGGTGCAGTTCAGGTAATGGGAGTCTCTCCAGATGCAGCACATCTTACAGCACAACTTTAATATGATTCATTTGGCAATAGTATAAAGATTCCCTCTCTGCCCTGCACCAGTGGGCAGAAATTTCAATGATAAAAAAGGATGAAAACCTCAATATGTGACCCATGGGAAAGACGGAGATGGAATCATACTCAGGAGAGACGTGTTAAGCTCGATGCATGACACAGAAATTAAAAGCAGTCACTATTTTGATGTTCATTCTTGACCACCTTCACATCCATTTCAGCTATTCCAAACTGTGGCGGTTACCTGGATACCTTGGAAGGATCCTTCACCAGCCCCAATTACCCAAATCCGCATCCTGAGCTGGCTTATTGTGTATGGCACATACAAGTGGAGAAAGGTTACAAGATAAAACTAAACTTCAAAGAGATTTTGTAAGTACTGCTGCCCAATTCTGTTGGAACAAATGTAGTAAACCCACCTGGCAACTGGGGGATTGGGGGAAGAGAAATTATCATATGTAATTCCCATATATGGGCTCTGCATTCACGGCACCTACATTCCACTGTGATCCAAAGCAGAATGCCAAGAACATCTGCAAGTGGGTTCATGAGGAGGACTCCACTGTGGATTTCGTTCCAAGGCCCAGAGCTGACCATGTCACTCGCCTCCTGAAACCACTGACTTCTTGGTACCATCCAATCTCCAGAGTGCAGCAGTCAAGGTTTTCCCAAGCTGGACCCAGGCCACCTTTTCAAGCCTTGCCTCTAGCTGCTGCCTGGCATGCACCCTATGCTTCAGCCAATCTAAACCATTTTCATCTCCAAAAAGAGCTCTCTGCATTGTTTCTCCCCATTTCATCTGTCCAGCTGCTTCCTTATGTACTTACTGGGGAAAGGAGAGACCAAGGGCTGCTTCATGAAGGCTGTTTCTGAGCTGAGCTTTGAACAATAGCATGGTGAGGTAGGTGGAGGGGGGAGTCAGGGAAGAGCACTCACCTCTACTGGAGCTGACAGCCAAGGAGTCATGGGAAGAAAGGGAGGATAGAGCAGAGGCTGATGAGACTAGAAAGCTGAGCTGGTGAGAGTGAGGAAGAGCCTTCAAGGGAGGGTGTGACTTTATTTTCTATGGTGCAGTTCAGGTAATGGGAGTCTCTCCAGATGCAGCACATCTTACAGCACAACTTTAATATGATTCATTTGGCAATAGTATAAAGATTCCCTCTCTGCCCTGCACCAGTGGGCAGAAATTTCAATGATAAAAAAGGATGAAAACCTCAATATGTGACCCATGGGAAAGACGGAGATGGAATCATACTCAGGAGAGACGTGTTA